TGGGCCATTGTGTCTAGTTAAATAGAAAGCCTTTCGACCCATTGTACGAAATTCTGCATTTGGATCTTTTAAGCTATTGCATTCGATTCCAAATGCACAAGTGCCAATCACATCGGTAGTAAAACGTGCTGATAACTCTTTCACGTCAAAGTTGTTGCCTTCTTTCAACAAATCATTAAGGACGTGAACAAATTGTTCCGCTACCTTTACTACTGTAGGAAACATGAATTTCATTTTTCCAGAAGTAAAAGTGGGTGATAGTTTCTGTCTCAGTTGTTTCCACTTTACGCCATCTAAAGCAAACAAATGTCCAGTTAATGGATCATCACGTTCATTATGGTAAACACCACGATCTGCAAATACTGGAAAATCCTTGATTAGAATATTTTTTGCCAATTCCCTATCCAATATGAAAGCAGTAGGCCGCTGAAAGAAAAATATGCCAACAAATGGTGCAACGCCTTTGAATTTCTTATATAAAGCGAAATGAATATCTTGCATTACGCGGTCTTTACGAAACCCACGGAAGCTGCCATATATGGGATGAGGCTCATCATATGGAATACCACGATCTTTCCAATAGTTAAATGTTTTTCGTACAAAATAAAATGCTACCGATAACACGCCGATCAGCAAATATAGCAAAATATAAGTTACACTCATTTTGATTGTGTGCGTATTTAATAAAATTTAATAAAAATTTATTATTTTTTTAGTCTACAATAAAGCAACAGCTGTGCTCTGCGTAGCTAACTACATAATGTTGAGAAGTAAACAGTTCTTTTTATATTTATAGCCATGCTCAGAAAGAGTATAAACATAGTACTCGTTTATCAATTTTAAAAATAAAGTAGTATATGTTATGCAAGTCATTTTGCGCTTCAGTAGAGCAGATTTAGTGTTAGTCTCTTCAAATGTTTATATAATATTCTGACCACATAAGCTCGTATTCACATCTTTTATTTTTATTTCATGTATCTTAATAAAAGAGTGACGAAAAAGAAGATAATTTTACGATAAAGAAATTCTCTTAAGATTTTCAATAAGTCTAGTTTGATTGAATTGCTTATTAGTTAATAAAACTGATATGATCTTCCTCGTATCCACTAAGATTATCAAAAACTTAACTCGTATGAACTGTGCAATTCAGTGTATATGAATTGGGTTGACCTTCCCAGGATTGTTTTTTTGAGGAAGGTCAACAAGTATATACTCCAGCCTATAGATATATCTTCACTAATTTTTGTGTAGAATATTACTTATGTGTAGACATAATATATCCAAAGAGAATTATTTAATGTGCATGAAAGAGAAATAGCAGTATAGGGTGTTACTCTGCCTTAAACTATCAGAACAGATTTTTTTTGTGTATTTAATTTCGTACTCAATATCAAAAATTGCATGAAAGTCTCTTAGTGATTATTATTTTTATTATACGTGTTAACTGACAGTTGAGTGTGATATCCCAAAATAAAAAAGCTGATGAACATTTATTCACAATTACTATATGAATTTTGGTATGAGTAATTTGGAACTGATATTTTTTTAATATGAGGTAACATGTTTTTAAAATTTGCATAAAATTTTCTTAAACTCAATTTATTATATTATTTCTTTTATAATATTAAAAACATATTTTTTTTACATAAGCACACAAAATGTAGAAAATACCTGTAAACCTATGAACTTATTATTTTAAATATAATTAGAATATAATTACAGGTTACTTCGGCCTTTTAATAGACTGGTGCAATGTTAGCAGTTATACGTTATATATAATATATTAATACGTCAAAATATAAAAATAACATGTGTATGTATATATATTACGTATATGTATATGACCGTTACACGTCTATAAAAAAGTCTAATTAAGTAAATAATTTCGTTGAAATCATTAAAAAATTATTATATAATTTATGCATTATTACTAACATTACGAGTGCAAAAATTTGATAAAATTACATGGCAAATTAATTATATCATAGCAATGGGATACAAATCTTTGTGACAATAATTAATTTATCACTAATTTATCACTTTAGAAACAACAGATCTGTTAGTGCTCAATTGATATATAGAGTACAATAATATCTTAAAGTCAAACCTTTTACTTTATTGAAAGTCATTATTCATGTAATATGTAATATATGGTTGTACTAAAAGATACATTCTTCAAGCACTCCAAATTTGATACTTTCGATATAAGAATATCAATTTTCTTTTTTACATGAAACAGTTTTAATCATAAATAGAACTTAAATCATTCTAAATTTATTTAAAAGATTCTTCTATAAAATTTTCGATTAAATCTTTTTTACTAAAGCCATAGATGTAATCAATTTTATAAATCGAATATACAGTTATTATACATTTTGTATTAGATTTCCAGGTCATTTCAAAATATGAAATAACAAGAAACATTTGTCAATATTGTTTAGTCACTTTGAACGTATATCAATCCAATCTCATCTATAATAATTATTTGTACTACAATGATTAAAATTTGACTATCGTCATATTATACATTTTATGAAAATATTGGTTAATATATTAGCATTCGTAAATCGATTAAGCTTTAAAATAGTTGGATATCAGTTGCCGACTGATATAACCAAATTGCAAGTAATATATAAGTATCCAGAAAAATATCTTTTATCACTCTAATCATCAAATTAAGACAGAATGAGAAAAATACCCAAATATAGATTAAAAAATCATCGTGTGAGTAGTGACAGATGGCGCTGTTGTCATCACTAGCAAGGCATAAGTATACACGATTTTCACATGTTACTACTGCTGTTATAATCGCGACAACAATGCAGTTCTTCCGTGTTGCAAAAACTTTACCGCTACAGTGGTGACAAATTTTACCTCTAATTATTACTCTGACTTATCTGCACAAAAGTAAGTGTCAGGAAAGATGCTCAAAACGTATGTAAAAGTATGAAAGATACTTGATGGGGAGGCGAAGGTAAATACATCCTAAATACCTTCTTGAAAATAACATTTTAGAGCATTTTAATAACAAACAAACAAGAAAGTGTTTTACATTATCCTTTATATCTTTGTTTATATATTTTTCTTCACTAGCCACAAACATTCTTTGATCCTTTAAACTGATCGCATTGTGCAACATCATGACCGTGACAGTAACAGAAAACGACGCTATAAAAAAAAATAAGAAATAAAAAGTGCTACCTAACTGCACTAGCCACGCATAATAAAATTAAGCAAACAAATATAATAAAAAATAATGTAAAATATATAATAATGTGTATTGTAAAATGTACAATAATGTATATTGTAAAATGTACAATATAAGAGTATATTAAAAATATTTTTTATGTTAAAGTGTAGTTTTCTAAATCATAGATTAGTTTAGGTTAGATTATAACGGCGATGGCAAATCTTGTAATGCTATTCAAAGGAAGGTCTTGCAGTTGACCAAGTTACTCAAAAAAGAAAGCCTCCAAAGTGATAAGGCGGTGCCGCGCATATGGTAGACAAAACCAAAGCAGATCACCTCCGTAATAGCGATCACCTCTGCCTGAAAAACACTACAGAGATCTGGAAGGTAATAGTAAGAGGAACTAAAATATTATAAATTTTATAGAAATATTATGTGCTAAGTTTACTTCATTAATTATCGATAGTTAAGCCTTCACAACACTTGTTAACTATTTTATTTAAACAACAGATAAAATTTTTGTCCGTCATTATTTCAAAATTACTAAACAACATCAATACTGATAAGTTTATTCATTTATACATAAATCAATAGATAAGAAGTTATGAAGGCAGTACTTTTTTAAAAATTCAAAGGAAATTGTTAATTATAACGAAAGTTAAAATCTGTCCACATTCATATATTTATTGATGAATTTATTAATTTAAATATTGATGTACCCTGCTTTACTTATCCCCTCTTTACCTGAGGGGATCTACAGTTTCTACATTTAATTTTTAATAAAAATATTATGGATCATAAGATCTTACATTTCAAATGAATCCCTCTAATTTGTTAATCTGAAATTCTGAAATAAATGTAAATCTAATTTGAATAAACAAGTGAAATACAAGGATGTTAATGGTAATTAATTTCATATTTGTATAGATTGGTCTAAAAAAATTATTTAACAATTTTGCTTAGTATGGCAGCTCTGTCTTATCTTTGACTTAACTTTGATAGGCAATCGAATTGTAGACAATAAAAGCGTTTCGATAAATTCTTGAAGTATTTCTACAAAAATTATTTGCATTGTGAGTAAGAAAACATTTTTAAAAATTTTTCACAAAAACCTATATATAGAGAAGTACACTGTAAAAAAGCTTTAAAAACATTCCTTTCGATTAGAGAAATAAATAAGATAAAAGGTACAGAAATAGGAGAAATGTGTGATAAAAATTAATTTATTGAAGTATTGAATTCACAGATACTACTCAAGATTAGTACATTAAGCTAGGATTCTAATCTATATAAGATGTTGCTGAAATGCTGAATATTTAACTTTAAGTATGATATGTATCTTTGCACAATCAATGAGTACATTTATAAGCATAAAAGATTACATTACTTCAATTTTTTCCTAATCTCTATTATAAAAATAAAATTAATTACCGAGTCCATATTTGATCCATATTTTATAAACCATATATTTCTTTTGAGGGATATCATTGTTTGTGTTGGAACTAGAATCTGGTTTTTGACTGCTGTAGTAGTGTAGTGTATATAAAGCACTTTTATAAATTTTCATTCTTTAAATATTCAAAGATTTTATCAAGAAAAAACTAATAATAAAATACAATGGCTTCAGAAGCGTAGACTCAATGAATGTCTGAATGGTATTAATAATACCAATTAGTTTAGGTATATACATTTTTCACACTTTTAACAGTGTATTTATACACTGCGAATGAGAGCATGATCACAAAACAAACTATTCCGCGGTTCAGATACCAAACCCCTTTCTGAAATTAACGTTGAAAGTCAGTTGATAATGAAGTTGATAAGATGTGAGTTGTGCGGAGAAACTGCTACAATGTTACGTTTAAAATAAAAAGTTTTTAGTAACTTTTAACTTTTAATTAAAAAATGAGTAACACACAAAACAGTAACAGAGCTTTACGAGTAAAGTGAAATAAATACACAACAAGCCCCGCAAAGAATATGTAAAATATTTTAATGATAATTATTTGTTCAACTGTGTGAAATTTAATTTTACGAATTTAATAATAAAAACAAACCAAATAATCCCAACATGGCAACTGTTTGGGTAATGTACATTATTTTATCACTTATCATAGGACTCATCATAGTACTGGCAGCGATATTCTTCCGTTATAAAAGATATTATTGGAAATTTCTGGATGTGCCACATGATCATCCACGACCATTGCTCAGTGTGCTGGGTGCGATTAACAGAAGTGGCACTTATACTGAGAAAGAACGCCTTGACTATTATGACACGCTCTACAAAAGATTTAAAGGTACAGGTCCATTCTGTGGTTACTATAACGTTCTGCAACCTAGAGTTTTAGTATTAGATCGCGACTTGGTGACTCAAATATTAATCAAAGATTTCTCCAATTTCAATGATCGTGGCATGTATTACAACAGTAAAGTAGATCCACTCTCTGCAGATTTGTATCACCTTAAAGGCAGTAGCTGGAAGGAAATGCGCATAAAATTGGATCCCATATATAGAAAAGAACAAATGAGTTATCTTTTTACCAGTGTCTATGAAGAAAGCCATCATTTATTAACAGCATTTGAGGAAGGCTTACAAAATGGTGTCTTAAATGATTTTGCTCAAATAAAGCAAATAATTCATCGCTTTGTTTTGACCATAATAGCAAAGTATGTTTTTGGTATGGTCACCAACAGTCATCAAGATAAATCTATACTCGATGAATTTGACGCTATGACGCAGTTAGCTTTGACCACACAGCGACATGGGCGTTTTTTTAATGCACTACTTTCGCGACATCGGAGCACCGGACGCAAGTTAGGTTGTGGAGTGACAAATAAGAAAGCTGAAGAATATTTTCTAACGCTTATCTCTGAAGTAGTAGCTAATCGTGAAAAATTCGGAACTGATGCTTATGACTACATGCAACTACTCATCAACTTAAAGACACAAGAATATAGCACACATGAAACTGAAGACATAACAAACAGCAAAGAACTAAAGGAACATCTGATGAAGGAATTAGCTGCCCACGCCTTCGTTTTTCTGAGAGCTGGGCTTAATCCAATAGCTAACACAATATCATATGTCCTACATGAATTGGCTTTGAACCAATGGGCACAGGAGCGCGTGCGAAAAGAAACACAAACTGCTTTACAAAAAAATAACGAATTTAATTACGAATGCGTGCAAGCGATGAAATTTATGGGTCAAGTAATATCAGGTATGTCAGAAAAAATTAATGGCATCTAAAAATATCACATACGTAAATCATATATTTGTATTATTTTCAGAAACTTTACGATTGCACCCGGTCACTCCGTATCTAGTGCGCCGCACGTTGCATAATTATATTGTACCCAACAATCCCAGATATGTGATACAACGAGATATGTATGTTATAATACCCACTCATGCTATGCATAATGATGCTGAAATCTATGCAGAACCACATCTCTTCAAACCAGAACGATTTTGTGGAGAGGAAAATAGGTCGCGTGAACCAGGTACTTGGCTAGGCTTTGGTGAAGGTCCACGTGATTGCATTGGTAAGCACTTTGCTCAGCTTATAGTACGCATTGCGATTGCTCGGTTACTTACACAGTATAATTTCACATTGGATCTAAAAAAATTAATCGTTGAAAGTCAAACTGGAGCAGGGTTAAGTATAAGACGAATTTCTGCGCCGAAAGATGGCCAAGAAGCTAATGTGGTGATATAAAAGAGAATTTGTTTATATTAATGATCGATTTTATTTTTTTTTGTTAAAAATTTTTTATTTAATTACAAATTAAAAATCAAAAAACATTACTAATAACTTTTCTTTACAATACAAAAGGAGCGAGTTTAGATTGCAGATTTGCTTTAATCTGTACTCTGTACTGTATATGAGAATCATTATTGCGCCATTAAATAAACATTTGCAGATCAAACATTACAAACTCTCTTTGCATTCTGAAACAAAGAGAAACAGGTTCTACTGAGATCTCAGGTATCAACAGAATTTCTGTTTTGAGATTAATCGCATTTGTAGTTTAGTTGCTTTTCAACTTTTGGTGCGATTAAATCGGTCTAAAAATAAAGTTACGCTTATCGGCAAATATGGAATTTGTGCAACTAACAATTTTTTTATTGTTGTTGTGTTTCTCTTTAGCCTTTTATTGGCTAAAACAACAACAACAATACTGGTCTAAACGAAATGTTAAAGATGTACCAAATTCAATATTCTACTTTGGACGTACACAACATCTTGCTAACTTCTTGCAAAATATATACCAACGCTTCAAGGATAGTGGTGAAATATTTGTTGGAATATTTTCCATGTTTTCCCCTACTGCACTGATGATTGACTTAGACTTAATCAAGAATGTGTTTATTACCGATTTTGAATATTTTCCAGATCGAGGTTTCTATCATAATTTGAAAGATGATCCATTATCTGGTAATATATTGCGCATGGAAGGTGAACCATGGAAAAGACTGCGAGCGAAATTGACTTCTACATTTTCTTCCGCTAAAATGAAATATATGTTCAACACAGTATTGAATATAGGTGAAAATTTCCAGCACTCTATGCAAATTTTACTAGCCAATGGTGCGGCGGAACTTGAAATGCGTGAGTTATGTGCCAGATATACCACCGATGTGATTGCGTCTGTGGCTTTTGGATTGGACTTCAACACACTACAGAAACCTCAAACAGAGTTTCGCAAAAAATGTGACAAAGCATTTAATAGTTTTAATTTATTTGTGGAAAATGTAGGAGTAAAATATATAAAATTATTCCAGTCCCTTCATTTTCGTGCATTTCCGAAAGATGTCAACGATTTTTTCCATAAAATTGTGACAGAAAATATTGCTTATAGAGAAAATAACAATATAAAGCGCAACGACTTTCTGGATCTTTTAATTGAGTTAAGAAACACAAAATTGGAAAATGGAGAAAATATGTTGTCCATAGAAGAAATTGTGGCACAAGCATTTGTGTTTTTCATTGGCGGCTTCGAGACTAGTTCAAGTACTATGACTTTCTGCCTATTTGAATTGAGTCAAAATTTGGAAATACAGGAAATAGCTAGAAAGGATGTTTTGGACACCTTAGCAAAACACAATAATGAGTTAACTTATGAGAGCTTAAAAGAAATGAAGTACTTAAATAAAGTTTTACATGGTAAGTACAGAAAACATTACAATAACAACATATTTATTTTATTATAATAATAAAACATTATTACAGAAACGCTACGTAAGTACCCTGTTGGTCCTACTCTGAAACGTATGACTAGAAAGGACTATAAAATACCAAATTCAGAGCATATTATATGTGAAAATACAATAGTGGTTATACCAGTATATGCTATACATCACGATCCATCGATTTATCCAGAACCAGATAAATTTGATCCAATGCGTTTTAGCACAGATGCAGTGTTAAGTCGCCATCCAATGGCCTATTTACCATTCGGTGCGGGACCAAGAATTTGTATTGCTCAAAGATTTGGTATAATGCAAACATCATTAGGGCTGGCTATGTTATTGAAAAATTTCCGATTTTCCATTACTGATGAAACTCCAGATAAACTTGTGTTTGATAAAAGAAATATACGTGGATTAAGCGTTGCGGGGGGCATTAAACTGAAGGTAGAGAAAATATGAAAACTTTGTGCAAGAAAATTAATATAAAATTTTTATTTTGATTAACTGTAATTTATTGATTTACTTCATTTCAAAATTACTTATTTATTTACTAAATTGGAGCTAAAAACACTCCAAACTGATTGGTATTAATATATTAGAGATATTTTTAGCTGCATTGCAATTTCATTGTAAGAAATTTTATGAACAGTTTTGGTGTTGATTTAATGATACGATAAATATTATCTCAAATTTTTTTTTAAATAAAATAAAACAAACAAAATATTTTGTAGCAAAATCTACAAGTAAATAGGTATTTTAGAAATAAATTTATTAATGACATTATCAAGTAAAAATTTTAATATATTTTAATTCTTTTATGTATTAAGGTATTATTGTAATAATATTACAATTTTACATTTATACTACAGCTTGACACAATAGATGATATAAAAAATATTACTCATATTTATTATATTGTTTATTTATTGATTTTAATAACATATAAGTTAATTTACTTAATTTGGTAATTAAAAATAATTTGCTTAAAATAACAACTATAAAAGACTTTATATAAAAAGTAAAATAATAAATACTTAGTAAATTAAAATTCTATTACTTAGACTAAAAAGTAGACTTAGACTTGCTTTAGCTAGAAGAGCAAGCATAAGTTTTTGAGACTTTAACAGTTTTTATATAAAAATAATAATTATTTAAAATACATTATTATTTTTAATTTCGAAATTCTCTGGAAATTAATCATTTCATGACGAAGGTAAGCATGTATAAATCAGTAGAAAAATAAATAAATATAAATAATAATTAAAGAGTACTAATTGTTGGCTCCTTGGAAACGAAAGACGAGCATGGCACAGAGTTAGTAATAATTGTTTAGTCAGAAGGAGAGAATAAACTGCAGAACCCAATTTCGAGAAGAATATGGTCTCAAAAAGTGGAACTGACTCAAGACTATCAAAATTAATAACAAAAAATTTTTAAACAAAACTATATCTAATTTTTTTGTGATATAATTCATTGTCTTCATCTAATGTTTTATTAGCATAAAAATAATTCCTTTCTAAGGTACATTGTTTCTAGCGAAAATGAAGAACCTTAAAATATATAAGTATGTTACATGTATATATATAATTAATATGTGCATTGTAGATTAGTTGAAAAACATTTCAATGTGATTTTTAGATATTAAATTTAAATAACTTTGTAAATGTGTTAAACTTTTAGTTAAAATAATTGCTTTTAATTTATTTAATATACATCCTTTTAGCAAATATTTTCAATCCTAATAATTTAAATATATCTTGTATATTTCTTTAAACATTTAAACTGATAAAATTTTGGCCACTAATTTTATTACAATATAGGAATATTTATATACTACATATATTAAAAATAATTGTAAAAGCAATTACATATTTTTTTAATGTTAATCTACTTAATTGTTTAACAATAAAGGTCGGATTTTTGATTATTAGTTAAAACTTTCATATTTTTTTTGTTAACGATAAATTTAAATACATTAAGAAAATAAAATATATTTTAGTGTAATTGTTCGTATAGTTTTTTTGGATGGATTTTTAATTTTCACAGTCAAGACTATTTAGATATGTTGAGTGCAAGTCTTTAAATTATTCAAAATTAAGTATCGAATCGCTAAGCAAATTACTTTTGAGTGAAATATAATAAATTATGTAAAAGAATACAATTCTTTTATAAATCAAACTTTTTTACTCCACTTAAGAGTTAATGGAATGTCCTTATTTAAGCAATTTTTTTTTTGGCAACAATTTTTATGATAAATCAATGGTTTTACAAATATTGTTAAACATTAATAATATAAAAAAATTGCGCCTTTTGTGAAATCCACTAAGTGCTGTTTTCTATTCTACATTTTGAATGCTACGTTGCAGATCTACAAGTTCTACTCGGTCAGCTAATTTCTTTGTCGCAACCTATTTAGATGGCTTTTGCTTCATTTGTCGCACCTCAGGCTTTTCTTCATCACTTTGATTAGGCAATTTACTACGCAACATTTGTTCATGCACATACAATAACAACCCCACATCTCGGTGACCTGCTTGCCAAGCTATTTTAAATGCTGTGCTGCCATCCTATACAAAATATTAACAAGAACGAATTTTACAAAAAATCTGATTCGTAGAAACTTTTCTATTTCAACGTACCACATCCTGCAGCAAAGAATTGCATTCCGTTTGTGTAAGCAGTTGTTTCACAATGTCCACACGGCCATGTTCAGCAGCACACATCAGCGCTGAACTGCCATCCTCATCTTGTATGTTGATGTCAGCACCAGCTGCCAATAGCAGTTGTACCATATCGAGATTACCATGGGAAACAGCCAGCATTAGCGCTGTTTGGCAATGCTATTTAAGTAGTTATATGTAAATACAAATATAATTGTTACTTGATGAAGCTGTCTGTTAAGGAATTTATTTACCTACCTTCTTGGCTCGTACATTGACATCTGCCATCTGAAACAATCGTTCCACGACCGTACGATGTGCAGCACTCTTTAGTTTTGCCAATGCCACGAGCATCACACATGTGTATCCTGCATTATTCATTTGATTTACATTGCAAACCTTTGAATCCAGCAAAATGGATACAACATCGAAATTACCATGAGATACTGCGTAATGCATCGCCGTATTACCCTGGAAAAATCAAATTAAATTTCATTAATAAGGTTATTAACCACAACATATATTTAAACTTACATTAGCATCTGACATGTTCACACAATATTCCAATAACGGTACTGACAATCCCTCAAAGCAATCCAAATAATCCTCAACTTCATGTGGATTGGCCTGTTCACTGCTTGACACACGATACCATTCTTGTTGTATTACAGACTTAGCAGCCTTCAAACTTGACGAAGACAGAGGCTTAGCACCCATCTTTTTAAGCAAAGAGTTATTTAAAAATTTTAGAGCAGTTAGCACTTCTTTGTTAGGCAAAAATCTGCAAAAAAATGTTTTTAAATTCAACAAATAAAAAAATTCATTTGTACAAAACATACTTTTGTCTCGGTTCCGCTTCCTCAGTGGCTAACTTCTGTAGCAATGCTTTAGATGGCGGCCTCTCTTGAACTGTGATATCATCTGCTTTTCGTGCGTCTTGACTAGACTTAAGGACTGGATTCTTGCGACGTGCTCCTTTGGAAACATCTTTCAGTGAAGTTTGCGTAGGTTCGGCTACCGACACAGTCTGTGGCTGCACTTCGATCTCTGCAACGGCCTCAGTTTCTATCGGTGCTTTTGATATCGGCGCTGGTGAAGCATCTCGAGACCAACTTATGCTTACGCGTTTCTCTTCCTTGACTATGAGATCACCTTCAACCGCTTGCGTGAGTTCAAAACTGTTGTCGTTCTCCTGGGATTTGTTACCATTTAATGACTCATTATTTCTTTTGGCGCTTAATGGTTGGCGTGTTGCTGCTACTTTAGTGTTTGTAGGCGCGGGTATAAAACTTTGTGTTTCACTTGCAGAGTCAAGTTGTTGAAAACTAGCAACGGTCGGTGTCTTCTCATGTAAAGAACTATATATAAGAAATTTAAAAAATTTATTACAAAAAATTAAAATATTACATAACTAAAAAATGTTTTTTAATAAATATTTTGCGCCTTACGTGAGCAGCACCGCGGAGCAGCCACTCACCAGCAGTGGATAGCAAGTAAAACCACTTAAACTAGAAAACATATCATCAGTTTTTCTGTCTACTAAATAAAATAACACCGAAAATGCACTATGAAAACTAAAAACTTAAAGGCGGCAGCAAAAGATAACGCATTTAACAGAAACTATTTAAGCCCTTTTGGCGCATAACGAAAACACCGAACTGAAACCATGAATATCGTAGCCAAAATTATGAAGGTCATGTTGGTACTACGACAAAGCCATATTATATGTAAGAACTCGGAGAGCGCATGCCTGGCATATGTCAAGTAGACAAAATTATAAATAAACAGTATGAAGCATGAAGCATGAACCATGAAGCTGGAGTAGGTCAGGTCAACAAACATAGAAATCTAGTATTGTTCGTATGCGGTGACACGGTTTGCGTTGATTGGGTTGTGTATTTACTAAGTGCTGTGGTGAATATATTCGTGGTGAATCTTGGAAATCTGCATAATCTAATTCGTGCTGGTGCATAATTCTAGTTTCTAGAATTTTGAAAGGATATTTAGGAATAAAAATAAATATTTAAACGCCTAATAGAATCCTTCTCAGTTGTCATCTTAATAGTTAATTGTAATATTTTCATGAAATAATGATGACTTAATATTGATACATGTAGATATATACCGGCTTACTAAACTACAAAAATATTAAGAAAGTACTAAATTTAATGTAGCTACTTGATTTTAATATCACAATAAAAAAATACTAGCACTTGCAGGATACTTAACAATAGTAACTAAACTAAATAACCGTGGCTCTAAGAAGTAGAGGCGAGTAATTACCTTTCAATTTTTTTCTCCGGACTTAGTGGTGGTGTCGGTACAGTGTAGGTATTTTGGCGTTGAAACAAAAATTGCCTGCGGACTGGGACGGGACTAGGTAAAGGTTTTGGACGTGGTATCTTTGAATCTACTGCACGTGTTGGTAAGGGACTCGCTGACACTTTGGAAAAATCTTTTGCCAAATGTTTAATGGCATCCTTACAGGAATCACAGTAATTATCAGCGCATGCAATCGATATATGCGGTTTTATAATTTCTCCGCAGCCGATATCACGTTTATGCACTTGTTCAGTATTTGATCCAAAGTGTCGAATACTAGCGGAAGGTAGTGTATTTGTACCGCTATTACGTGTTTCTGGTTTGGGTGGTATTGGCTCTGGATTTGAATCTGGTTCCGGTGTAATGGGTCTAGCGACTTCATCAACACTGGTTTGTGTGGTACATAATTGTATAAGACCACTTGTGTCTGTCTGCCGACTTATAGTATCAACTTGGCTCTGTGTACAACTATTTTGCATTTCCGGAACGTGCTGTACTCCCACCGTATGAACTACAGTTGCTGATGTTTGATTCCCTTCACTGCGCACGGCCACAGGCATGCTCTGGGTACCAATTGTTTTGCGTTTTATTGTTAATTTTTCATTTTCTCCCAAACTGAAAGTATTGCTACGGGGTGGCATTTCCATTTGTTTCAAAGACATTGCATTTCTAGATTGTGAATCAGTATCTTCAGTGCCACAAGCCACAGTGCGCTTGCTACTGGCACATTTTTCGCATAGCACATCATTAATACTATGCTCGGAAGAAGCAACAGTACGCACACTGGGCTTACAAGTCACGAAACTCTCTCGCGTTTGTGGTTTTGCCAAAACTGCAACTGCATACTTTTGTACCGGTTTTTCTAACGCCGTTTGTATGCTGCTATCACGTACACCTAATTTCGACACATACATCTGCGTACCGACCGATATTTGTTTTTTCAATTGTTGCAACGTGCGTTCTTCTTCATATTTGGTTACTGCGGTTGCAACACGCTCTTCCATTTGAAGGTGCGAATAGAGCGTCTCAGTAATGGTACCTAAGTTTTGATCTGGATTTGTGCCAGTTGTACGGAAGCTTATGATTGGCGACCCGACAGCAATGTCACGTGTTGTGTGTAATCCACACATTGTGCCTACATCACGTTTTAATGGCGGTTTTGCCTGCTTCTCTGAGGAGCTAGAGTTGGTACGTAACCGAGCGCCAAGACTTTCGAGTGCAACAGGACTAATGCGTTGTGGTGTGAACTGTACAGGGGAAGGAAATTTCGGACTAACTGCTGGACTGGGGGATGATGACAAACGAGTCGTATCACGTGCACGCAATAACTCGTCATCCTTACGTTGAACTGTCTGCTGCAGCAGTTGTTTTTCATCACGTAATTGTGTGAGTTCGCGCTGAAATGAATTGAATTTTACTTTTTTCTATTTTTCTAAACTTTTAATACAAATGCCACTTACTTTCAGTACAGGTATGCTTTTAACTTGTTCCTCTAAATCCTTCATGCGTTTCAAGCTAAGTGCCATCTGTTCGCGTATGTTGAATAATGTTTGTGCATCTGCGCTATTAGAATCGGCACCTGCAGCTGTGGTAGTTGAGCGTAATGCATCTTGTACTTGTTCACTCAAAGGAGATTTACTGATCTGTGTAGAATTTGGGCTAAAAGATTTTGTCTGGACTACATGACGTCTTGGTGGTGGTGCTGGTGGTGATATAACTTCCACTGGTGATTTGGCATTTGCTGCCACAGTTGCTTGTACGTATGACTCATACTTTTGTTCACCTGGTGATGGTTTTTGATGAAATGGTAATGAAACAGTGCGACTATATAATCGGGAGGCACGAGGAGATTTGTTACCAGACACGCAGGAATCTAAAACAAAATGAAAATGTTAATAATATTATACAATAAATTTTAGAAAACTTAATGTTTTGACGAATTTTGCTTTACAATTGTGTACATCTGTTTTGACTAAAACAATTTTAATTTGCAAACTTTCCATCGGCGTGAACAGAGGCAACTAAATTACTCTCTATTTGAAAACGAATGCATTACTAATTCGCACTAAAATAAAATAAAATTTGTAATTAATTATACGCGGCATTGATTAAAACAAAAATGCAAAAATCTAAAACTCAATGTCGACAAAATCCAGTTTTGAGGTTTTCTCCATTTTGCTTATGGCAGAAAACAAACTAAAAAAGTTGAAAACAATGAACCACTTCCGTCTAAAAATCTGGCGGCAAATGATTCAAAATGCTATAGAAAATCAGCTGAAACATGACGATAAAATATAGACAAAAAATCAAATAAATTTTGGATTCCGGTGATTTACGTATCTTCTACCTTTTTGATAACCGCGTCAAAACTGCAATATATATTCAGATCTTTTGCATTATTCTAACACTGTACTAGAGTAGTAAAATTGCTGCGAAAGTTTGATACAGAATTAGGTCAAATAATCATAATTATATTATATTTAAAAACAATTCAATTATATTATATTATTGACAAAAATACTTACAATTATATAGAAAATTTTTAACTAATATCAACAGAGATGAAGAAATATGTAATTAAAAACCACAAAATTATAATAACAATTAGTTGTTAACTAACTGATCGCTGACTAGGTGTGTTAATAATTCTTTGAATTAATTATTTATTTTATAATATTTTAACTTCTTCAAGCCATGAATACTACATAGACCTGTGATAAATTGTCATTATTCTTTCATTTTTATATTCCTACTATTCTGTAATAACTTCTAAATGCTGTCCAATAAATTATTGATTCGCTATGGTTTGGCTATTTTATCTAACAGAGTTCCGTCAATAATCAACCAATAGAAAATAATGACAAAATTGTATAAAAGATATTATGTATTTAATACTACAGTATAATAACATATATATAAAAATATTTTACATAAAAATACGCACAATTCTGCCACCAGCTTTTTACATTTTTTTCACCGATATTCTCTTCCTTTTTCCGGTTAACCATAGAAGAAGATAAGTCCTCACAACTTTCTTCAACTGAAGTTGCAATATCAGTCTGAGTTAGCAGCTTCTTTTTGTTGTGTTTAAATTTTTTAGTCAACATTTTAGTTCCACTTTTATAATAATATTTATATATAACAGCATTTCAATATGTTATATATTTCTATAAATAGTAATAATCATCCCTACATTCTTCTACATAGATATTTTTCTTATAATGAAAACATTATAAGAACTCTTACTGTTTTAAACTACTTATTTCAATGTAAGCATTGCAAATATAAGCAAATAAATAAAAAAAAATTTAAACAAATTTATTTACAATATATAAAAGTGTTCTGAGTACATATGTACATATGAATATATATATACGAGTGTATAACATATATAGAAAAGGTCAAACGCTGTAATCATTATCGTTAATGTCGCCTATAAAAAGTAATAAAGTGAAATACTTAGTACAATCGAATAGAAATACTTGCGTTATGTATATTAAACAGGGTTATCCGTTTTGTGGTTGCAAAAGTAAAAGTAAATAAAACACTCTTATGATTAAAGTTTTATTTCAATATATATTTTGGAGCTTGACATTAGGTGCGAAGTACAACTTCATTTAAATATCCTTCAGGGTATATCATACAATACATTATCGGTTTTGGGAAAGCTTTCAGATACTTCTCACACAGTTAAGTATAATTCTATCATTACTTGGCGGATGTTCTTCATATATTAACAAGTGGTATATTAGTTGTAAGTTAACTTCTTTAGAAACTTAAGTTATTTAACAATTATTACATTATATTAAGTTTACTACAAACACTTATAATAATTAACTTTATCGAACTAATAAATCAAAACACATATTTATTAATAATATAATTTATAATTATTAATAATTTTACTAAATATCTTCCCATTTCTAAACAAAACATAAATCGCACTGGCGAAAATCTATCTCATATTAAGATTTTTAAATCTCCCACATAAGCAAATATATATACATTTGACTAATGAAAGAGATAATGTTAGTTCCATTTAATTCTCATAAATACTGATAATGATAACAATTTTTGGTGTGTTTTTGAAACTAAGAAAATATATTAGCAGAATAAACAAGTGAATAAAAATCTGATAGATACACGTTGGAATGAATCTCAATGAGTAATTTTTGTATAATTTTAGAAAAACGGAGCTCATCTTTGCAGATAAGCTATTTTGTTTAAAAGCAAAACAATTTTTTTTGTTTTCAATTATTTAATAACAAAATGTTTGAAAGTCATTAGCCTCTCTGAATATTACTATTGCCTACTTTTGAACCACCTACGAAGTATGTCTTCGCTGAAATAAATATATACAAAACAAGAAGAACCGCATTGAATATATTTAGATTATCTGAAAATATGATTGAAAATTAAATCAAAATTAAAGAATATGTGAATTGGAGTTTCAAGTTTTATTAGCAATTATTATTCGCAATATTTATGTTAACTATAGACTTATATTACTAAAATTACTAAGAGTTTTAACTTCTGTTATATTCAATTCAAAATCATGTGAAGAATCTTAGTTTAATAAATAATATCATAGATGGTAAAATCTACCATAGGTTCTAGGTGATTTAAGCCCTGAGTTTTTCCTATATACATGGTAACACAGTTGGCCAATAGACCTAAGCTGATCAACTATTGATCGCCGGTATAACCTAACCTAACCTAACCTAACATAGATGTTCATAACTTTATAGCCTTTAGAACTTTTCTGTTTTAAACAAAAAAATTTCAAAACACATATTTGAGTTTAATTCTTTATCTACCTATTGACTTTTTTCGGATTTTTGCTCATTATGTCCCACTGTGCGGCATGCCCCATACATTAAAACAACAATAAAAATAATAACAATAATAGCAGTAGCGAAAAAGAAGGAAAATTAAACAAAAAGAATAAATTTAATCTCAATAATGTAAATAAGTTACTAAGGTAGTTAACTTATGCCTCGCGAAGATACGATTGACAACCATAATTAGTAGTCGAATGTGGTTTGCATGTGAAAACATACAACAGTATTGAGACAGCCACAGTGGTAGCCACAAAAGTCAAGCTGATTGAACTTTGTGGTACAATGGATAGAATTATAATTTGCGGTTGTCATTATACTTTAAAAATGTCACTTCCAAGTGGACTTGTTTTTATGTTTTAAAGGAAAAAAAAATATCATTAATAATAATGAGAGTAATAATGATATTGGAGAAGACTTGAATCCTGTCAAAGGTTCATTGAATATTATTACTAAGTTTAAAATTATTAAAGTTATATAAAAAGTATAATTATTTTTTAATATTTTAATAGAGAATAAAAAGCATCTAATCATATATCCGTAATGACAACAACAAGTTGTCTCTTACCATCGGTCTTAAAAATTTCTATAGAAAACCTTTCTTACGAGCGGTTCCTTTCGGTTCTATATTTCATATAAGAACTAATTTCACTAAATTAAACTATTGTATTTACAATATTTAATTATTTAAAACCTAATTAAATAATTATATCAAATAATATTTCTGTAGACTTTTGAAACATTGATTTATTTATTTTTTTTTTTTTGTTGTACTTAAACTGTGTAAAATTTTGACCATTAACGTACACACTTTTACAATTAATTTAAAGAAAATAAAAACTTAATTTAAAAAATAATATCTCAAAATACTAAAAACATTCAACTTGGCTATGTAAGAATCAAGGCAATTTTTCAAATCTATTTTTTAAGAAAACTAGACTATTTATAGTCTTCGCGTGTGACGTGTTTTTACTGTGAGAATTTTTGTTTTAAGATATTTAGATACTTAAGTTGTTTTTTTTTCTACAAAAATCAAAAAATGAATCATCAACAACGAAGCAGAATAGTTCATATATTTTCAAAAAATAAAAAATATATCTGGCATATCATTGCTCTGCGATAGAAATGTTTGTTGTTATGAAAACATGAGCATTTGATTTAGAGTTCATTTGATTTATCTTAGTTGTTTTGACACAATTAAAAATCGCATTAATCACGTATTTAATTTAGGCCTATTAAGTGTACGTGAGAAGTTTTGATGGAAATAAAATTAAAATAACAAAAAACTTAAGTAAAAAATTAGAATTCATACTGTGATATTTTTAACTTTTAAATTAATTGTGCTATCCCACCTACAATGGAGCAAATGGATTACCATAAAGCCCAACCTTAAATATTTCGGCAATAAAAAAATTGACAATGTTCCAATAAATAAAATAAAATACTTTTTTATTACATTTCGTAACATAATCGAATTATTAATTAGAATTTTACTTAAAATTTGCAAAGTAATTATTAAATATACTTAAACCGTATATGTTTTGTTGAATTTTTGTGGTTCTGTTATTGGAATTCAATTGAAGTTTCTCAAATTTAAAAAACTAAATATGTAATAAAGTATGTAATAACCTCAAGACATTCTATATATGTTTATAATAATAATTTAATCATTTTTTGTTAACAAAACATAAATGTTTTACTAACTGTTTTTTATTTAAATAAGTCTTCAAATTAAAAATTTATTTTTGAAATAAAAAATTTATAAATTTATTAAAAAAGTTTTTGTCAGAAGTGGGATTCGAACCCACGCCCTCAGAGAGGACCAGAACGCTCAGTAACTCACAGTGTGAGTAAGATTGCTCTTGAGTCTGGCGCCTTAGACCGCTCGGCCATCCTGACATGTTTGTACTATCGATTTTTTTTTATTTTTATATTAATAATTATTCACAACTTTATCAATTTATATTTGAATTCTAATTTCGATCAAGCAAATCCTAATTTTATTGGATATAAAACTAAAAAATTGGTTAATATAAAACACATTAAATAAACGTAACATACATATATACAATATAAAATTCATAAAAGAACTACAAGTATTTAAATAATTTTCTAAACATTTTCAAGTTGTGGCAAAAATAAACTAAATTTAAAAATCCCAAAATAAAAAACTTTTTTGATTCATTAAATGGAACTGATGCCAAATCTGTGCTAGTCAGATTAAAATTTTGAAATGCAGGGCTTAAGACAATTAAATTTTGGCGCCTAAACTGCAGCTTTCCTAAAATTGACAGAAATACGCGATTATCCATTTGACATTTCAAGTATTTATAATAATGGCGCCATAAATAAAAAAATTGTCATTTGCAATTTATTTGAAATTTCGCGCATAAATTTTGTTTTGTCTAAGTCCATTTGAATTATATTTTCCAATATTGTAGTGACAGCTTCGCCACACGATTGCATCAACACAAGTAGCAGAAGACATAATCATTTAAACACTTCACACTTACCGAAAACATCAAAGCAAGGTTCCCACGCATACCCATTCCGCTTCTCGTGTGAGCTGAATCCATTCATTTTGATTGTGGTATTGTTGTTGCGATCACTGGATACGCCATTAAACGCCACGCCATTCTTCTTGCGTCTCATCGAAGTACGTTCCAGAGTTCGCTCAAAATCGCTGCATACCTCATCCAGCGCATCACGTAAAAATGCACGCGTCTCTGGGGGACTGATGGTGGTTTTTGTGCGACGCAGTGTATAGGGCACATCACTTTCAGTGCCTCTTATAGACGAGCAAGTGGATGATGCAGTGCCAAATGGTGACTCAGCACGTGTTAGGCCACCGTAAGTGAATCGTGGCACTGATGACGAACGCGGACGTGTCTGCTGATATGGAGTGGAAGTGTGTGGAAGGCGTGGTGAATCTGGTTCTGTTTCGTACGTTACCTGTCAAATGAAAAGCATAGAATATTTAAAAGAAAGTGTGAAAATCTCTTAATTTATACAAAGTGGAAATGCTTTACAAGACATAACTAAAAGACAGCAGACTCCTTGCCAGACTGTCGCCATAAGAAGTGCAGACACTGTTTTTGCGCACTTTGAAGTTTAAATCTTGTGACGAATTTCTCGATTAGGCAAACTCTGCACAAATGCAGCATATCAGCATAGACTACTCCCGCATATAATTCTGAATATGACACGAATTGGCCATAAAGTATTATAAAATAACGATTATAAAAACTTTTCACTAACAAGAAGAAAGAAAAGCAAATTTAATTACTGCCACATCAAAGTAATTTCCTGACAGGGTGCCTGAAATGTTTGACTCGGACAGCATAAGCACTTCAATTGATTCTTGTCTTGGTTAATGTTAATTAAGTGTAAGTCTACGGCTGCAATTTGCAACAAATAAGATCCATGCTAGAAAATATTTTTAATGATGCATTATTGAGATGCAAAATGGCTTTCATCAAAAGTCTGCGGCAATTTGAAGAGTCTACGACTCCTAATATTCGTATTGGCTTACACAAATATGTGAAACATCAGAAGGATCAATGCTAACGTTCAAAATCCATTCACTTAAACACCGACTTTGCAGTCAATAATAAACATATACTAAGATGATTGAAAAGTCTAGCATTTTAATTCATTTATCATATTTAAAACTCACCTCTGGCACAGCTTGAACGCGATCAGCGGCATCCCACTGCTCGAAGAGGCTCTCCATACCCAGCATGAATTCCATTGATATGCGCGAACGCCGATTGGCGCGTCTTCGCAATTCCTCCTCTGATGGCTTAGCATTTGCCAGCGATTCGCAGTAGCGCACGAAATCCAAGTCAATGTGGTACCCGTACGGGCAGCAATCGCAACTGCGCACATTTGCAGTTTGTGGCAAGCGACCTACAGCAATGCAAACAAAAGATATTTTAATAAAACAATCAAAAGAATTAAAGTCTTAAAGTCTTAAAGTCTTACAACTAAAATATGTTAACCAAAGCAATTCTTCATTGTAATGAATTGCAGATTGCAGAAGCAGCTGCATGTGGTAGGTTTGGTTTCCATAACAGATATCCGTAAACAGATATCAATTGAAATTCTCCAGAAATGACAAATGTGCAGTTTCAAAGAGGATGAGAAATGCTACTATGAAATTTGAATTCAAAACGAAAATTACCATAATTATAAATTGATGTTTGATACTTTTGAGGCGGACGTAGGAGTAAGCAGATTCATTTCAAATTAATGGTTAAATCAAAGTCAAGTTTTCTGTCGTTAAATAACTTAAGTTGAGAAATATTCATATTCAAATATTTCTAAAACGTTTTTTATATACAAAAAGTAAATCTATATAATTATATACAACACAAATTACATATAATAACTTAGAGAATGGGTCATCGTTCTGAATTAGAAATCTCACTTTCTCGTCGTGCCTTCTAGACTATAACCAAGTAAGAGATATGATAGCTATAAGTAACGTCCTAGATAGAACTACTTCGAATCTTCATGCCTGTAATAGCTGAGTTAGCACGGCTTTCTGTAGATAGCAAATATCTGTATGTATTGTACTCATATTTGCAGGCAAATGTAAAAATTTAGTAATAGTTTATAAGATATAATGTTATATGGTTATGTTATATCAACAATACCTAATAAAATCTACAAAATTAACAACTTGTTTCATATTTACTAGTATGTTAAATAAACTAATAGCTGAAAATTATTACAATATGTAAAAAAAATTCACTTCAGTAAGAAATATAAAGTTTTCATTTGCAATCCTTTTAATATCAAGAGCAACTCTCCTGATCTATGATCGAAATGAAACAAGTGATACATTGTTAAGTCCAAAACTAACCAAAGAAGTATTATTATTATTAATAAAATTTTCGACGAGATAGGCCAGAAGAGTCCTATTGCACCAATGTCACTTAAGATTACACAAAGCCCTTTAAAACCTTGTGAACAAAGTCCAGATCTGTCTTAATCTGTTCTAGTGTCCGAAATTCCATATGAAATAAGTTTCTTCTGTAAGTTGTTAAAGCTGGACAGTCACAAAGAACTTTGATTGTAGTTTCCTCATCTTCGAAGCATAATCTGTATTCCGAATTAGCAGATAATCGTAGTTTATGAAGATGATATTTCAAACTATAATGTTCTGTAATGAAACCTGTTATCAACCCTAAATTACCTCTGGAGAATTTAAGAATGTTTTTGTAGGAGTACGGTTTGATCAGTGTTTTGCTTTGTCTAAAACCAAAGAGGTAAAAAGCACTTATAACTGCCACAACATCCGACCACAAAACAACACCTCTACATTTCACTTAAATAATAAGTGATATATAATAAAAAATCAAAATTTTTTTCCAAAAATTCTTAATCATACAATCAAAAAAATTTTCTTAATAAATTACTTCTCCTAACCATTAAATCTTTCATAAGTAAACACAACTTCAGCTTAACTCGAACTTCAAGGTCAAGTATACAATATCCACGTATCTAAAATCACGAAAAATTACTTCCGAGAAATAACCAACAAAAATTTACAAAAGCACAAAAACCAAATTTAGGTGCTTTAAGTCTTAGGAAGACAAAACCACAAAATATGTGGCATATAAAAGCTACAAGCGACCACACCTGCCTCGCTCCATCCGAATCTAAAAATTTAATTGCCAAAGCTAAAGGCCAAATTTAAGCCAAATAAAAACTCGCTGGCAGACTTAAAGGCCAAATTATGATCCAAAAAAAAAAAAAACAAAGTCCAGAAACAAAACACAAATTGCAGATGACAGTGTCTCGAAATGGATTTCTACCTGCTTTTATGTTGGCTGTTGGCTTGCTAGCCCTGTTTTTTCTCTTTTTCCATTTGGACAAACATAAACTTACTTTGAACTTTATTTGAAGCATGTAGATATCTTGGATTTTTATTTTTCGGATTTCTTTGCCTTTTATCATATGCAAACCGATGCCACAAATAACACCAAAGCACCAAAAACACGTTCAAGAACATTTATAGATACAAAGATACGAATATACGGATATACTTGTACGGATTTCTTTTGATTTTCATAAATTTTAAATTTCGTCGTCTATATTTTAGGCGTTTTATTTTCATACTGAAATTGTGTTAACGAAAATGTCATTAAATTTCAAATATAAAAATAAAAATTAAATAATTTTATCGCATTTTTACGAGCTCCACATACTTCAGGCGTGAGGGCAAATAGCAGAAACTGTAGAAAATCGTGCTATTTTACCGCTTCTAACCCTTTCTGCATAGTCAGTCAGTCATTCTGTCAAGAAAAGCGCTCTAATCTTCGATATGAAAACAGAAAGTAAGCAAAACAGAGGTAAGAAATATTGATAAGATTTTTACTAAAAAATAACACAACAACAACAAAAATAAATACTGGTGACTACCAAGCAAAGTATCTGAAAAAGTGAAAAAAGAGGGAACTTTTGAGTATGTAAGACTTGATAATTGCAATAACACTCTTTCTTTTTTGTCGTAAAGAGAATACGAAGTCTCAGTACATAATCATCATACTTAGTATAATGCGACTGTATAGATAAAAACTAAATGATAATTATGCGTATGATGATAAGTAGACTTTGCAATACTCTATTTACTCACTAAGAAATCCACACATCAAGCCTGTATTTCAAGTTGCAGCCTCTTTATCGAAACCAAATCACAAGATTTAACAATTTTATGTGGTCATATAACTTCAACCATAAGTCTGTCCGCCTGCCAATATCTGAATGAGTTTACAATACTAATTAAGTAGTCGCCATGCATCGCCAAAATTTAATGACTATATTACATGAAGGCGTTCAGAGCGACGCGTTCAAAACCAAGTAGGCGCATGCGTGACTGAATGAATTTTCATTTACGAATGACTTTAGTTAGCAATTAACTCAAGACGTCCGAATTGGCAACTGTAAAGAAACACAAACAACAGGTTGAACAAAGCCAAACGACCATTGATGAGAAATAAACCAACGGAACCAACGGATCCAACAGCTGTGATTTGTAGTTGTGTTTTTGTAGCAAAAGACCGAAATGCAGAAGACATGGCTAGCAACAGCTGCAGAATTGTAAGCAATTACTTAGTTGCTTACGTGCAATACTAAGTAGGCTAATTTGGTAAAGTTGGATTTCTTGTTGTTGTTGTTGTATTAAACATGCAGATCACATTAAAAAATTGGACATTGAAAGTCACGAAATGTCGAGTAATTATTTTATGTTTACGAGCGATCATAAAAAATTTGGATTAGGGCCAAGGGTTTTTGAAGTTTTTCAAATAGCTAATTTCCATAACACAAATTTTATATTTTTTGCTACTGTTATTAAACTTTACTACTCGTACCCATTATTATTCCCCTATAGTTATAATTTTAGGTTGATAAAATGTAAACATTTTTGATCATTTACATGATTATAGTTCCTTAATTAGGACCGCCCAGAATCATAAGATTCGTGTGAATCTTAATTAATGATACACAAGTTTTTTTTTCTACTTGTGTACAAAATTTGTAGTATCTTGTTTTTATCTATGTGTGACATACAAATATATTCTAATTTTAACGTTTGTCCACAAGTCGCATTTTAGAACTCTTCACTATTTCCCATACTCTCATACTCTTTGCATATTCGATGATAATATCTTCATATTTTAAAGCGTTAAATTTATTGGTGCCTCAATGCTAAGTCGCACTTAAGAATATCGGGGCAAATATAGAACTTAACTGAGAAACAATAATTATTATTATTTTTTTAATTAAGTGAAGTGTGGTAAATAGAACTTGTATGAATTTTAGAGCCTATTGAAAACGAAGAAAACAAGATAAAAATGATGGCAGATACAATGGTTGGTAGTAATGAGAATTATTATAAACAGTATTTTCTTGTATAATAATATTTGCATATTTTTTTTAACTTCCTAATAAAATTACAAAACATTTTGAGAGCGAATTCAATGTAAAATCTACACTCTTCTTTCTCCCGTCCCTTGCCCTTGACAGATCGTGAACGACACAGATTGTATTATAACGGTACATTACTCGTCGCGGTGTGTCGTTTTATTTTTACTCTGTGAGTATCATTACGCTTATCGTCTTCTTGAACAATGGATACAATTGATCCACCTATCGTAGACACAATATTTATCGTTTTCTACTACTTCTACATTTTGCCCTTTATAATGACTTGTTCTAAGGTATGTGGTAGAACTATACAAACCTTGGTAATACAGGGAATAGTTAAAAGTTACTGCCGAAAATTAGCACTTAATGAACCGTAAACTATTTTAGATATATTCACGACCTTTTATTTTTTATTTCTCTTCACGTTTTGCATCAGTTTTTCAATCAAGCTCAAGTAATAACATTTTACTGTTTTATTTTTGCACATTTTTGGTAAATTTCAAAACACTGATCCACACTGATCAAATAATGAATCGTCTTACATCAGGAATTGTTAGCTCTTAAATAAGTGCTTTTTTGTTATCAAACGAAGACGGTTTGAAGAGTCATGTATTGTATGCTCTTCACTTTATAGCTAATAATTCTTTTTTTATTATTTCTAGCGCTTCAATGCTACATCTGTTAAATTGCATATGAAACATGTAAAATGGAAGAAGATAATAGTTCATTCCCATATTTAAATCCCATTTTAAATGTAAACCTTATTTAGAAGTTACTTAAACACTATACCAATTAACTTAAATACTTTTTAAAGTACATGTCTTTAACTAAGAACACATCTTTAACTTTAACAATATCATCATTAAATAGATTAAATAGTTTTATCATTTTTTTAGTCCAGCCAGAAATCACCTTATTAAAACCTGCAATTTGATATGCCTTCAGAGGCCGAATAAATTGATATTTTAAAAAATCTGTCAAAACGAGTTTCAGTAAAATTTACTGCCAAATACTGCGATCAAAATGCGAAACTAAAAGACAAAGTAATAAAGTGGGTCACTTAACGCCCAAACGTACGACACCAAAGATACCCATACAGCAGTCATTGATGCATGCATGCTTACGAATATTTGCACCCACTGAAAAATTCATTCTTTTTAATTATAAAATTATTTATTACAACATTTGAGCAATATAAAATTGGTTTGGCAATAAATAACAAAAGACAGAAAACGCATTGTGGTAACTAATAATACTAATAATGCATGGCAAGTTGAAAGACATGAATTTTTCATCTATTAGATACAAGATGTTGAAAACTGCGAACATTAAATGCATTCGCAGCAGATACATATGCAGCCCACGCAATATGTGCTACAGACACAGACGAGTATGTTGAGATACATTTTTGCTAGAATAAAGCACAAGACTTCATTTGATTGGCGTAGTTATGGGACGTTGGGACGTTGCAATTATCGTATTGACAACTGCACTGCACCGTTAGGAAAATGCAACGCCTTTACTGCAACGGATGAAATTGCATGAATTGAGAAAAACGCAACCAAACACATTTGACATAATCGTTAAGTAAAAAGATACAATAACTTTAAGTCAAAATACATTTTCGCTTTAAAAGGTAAACGCCTTGAACATCGTTTTTATTTGGAAAGCAAGAAAATCGTTTCAAGGCAATTTATGGCAAAGGCGGTGAAATTCAGATCTTAAAATGTTGCACTTTAGAGATGACTAAACCAGTGCAACCCACTCAACTGAAATTTCAGACATCGCAAATTAATAAAATAAATTTTAAACTTACTAATTTAAAGTTTTAAATTATTTATTTAATGTAGTAAACCAAAAATATGTTGATTGTTGAACCGAATTTATAAACCAAGTTTCAAATTGTTTTTGCTAATTTCATCGAATATTCATTGCTCAGTCGATAACCTTAAATCGCTGAAGTTGTAGGCGTCTAAGCAGTTTTTAAGCTTTGAATTAGCGAAATCTGTGTAAACAACATTTGAATTGAAACTCTAAGCCTGAAATAATTTCATACAGAATCTTGTGTGGGGGCGACTTAACTGGCTTTGCCAACTGTTGTTCACAGCGCTGGTTCTCTTACAACTTTGAGTGTAAAAGTCGTAGCGCTAGTCAACTCACCGCGGCCGTGACAACCTCACATGGGAATAGGTTTCGAACTCTTATGAAACTAAATATCTCATTTAAAACATCTGCTAACCTTTCGACTAAAAACTCATACTCTTTCGCCTCATACTCTTTAACACGTAAATGCCGCCTACGTTTTCACTAACTGTGCATATCTCCGAATCACGTTTACACCATGCAGCATGCTCTTCTCGACAATTCTGTTTATGGCGTTTAGTTAAACATGGCCCATAGTAGCTACATTTTTAAATGCTTTCCCCTTCCCTGGTGTATCTCTGCTTCAGTTTCTTCAGCTTCAGTCTTGTTTTCATTCATAAATTTCAGATGCAAATCACTTCATTCATAAAATTTTCACTTTTGTTTTCATTTTCCACCTTCGCAGTTTTCACGGCACTTAACCGCTCATTGTTGTTGTAGCTGTTGTGCGGCTGTTGTGTTGATATTGCGTAAGTAAACTGAACGCATTTGGTCTTGTTGCCGGTCCGCCGGCGCACATAGAAACAGGTTGCATTATCGGCTATTAAATATGCAAATACCGCATACTTCATTTAATTGATAAAAATCTGATAGGCGGCGAGCATTTGTTGACTGTGTTGAATACACAATTTAGTCAATGAAAGCATTTAAGCTAAAATTAAACGGACTTAATTTCAATCACATTTATGCTTCATTATTATTTTACCATCGAAAAGAGCTTTAATATAAAAATTATTCTTTCCCTGTTCATCCAATATCCCTGTCAGCAAAAATATTCGCACATGCAAACATATAATTTTTAAAAACTTTACGTACATACCTATATATAGCCTCAGTAGAATATATATTTACATAGCCTCAATATATGCTTCGAAGTGAGAACTGTTAGAGTAACGAATGCTTTATAAACGAACAGTGAGACTGTTTTGGTCTAGATTATGTTATATAGAAAAAGAAAGAGATATTTTTACCGAGTTGATATGTTTCAACAGTGTCGTAATTCAACAAGAGGAATAAAGAAAGAGTACAAGAGTTACATGACATAGAGGGATCAATCAATCAGAAAGCGTCTTATTGTCTCTAGAGATTTTTCTCACTGACCTGACAAAGATAGTGAAGATGTAGTTATCAGATATACTAAAATTCATTTGGAAAAATAAAGAGTTTACTAAAGATACCACATAGAGTTAGATAAGAACAACGGTTAGAGCAGCTAACCTCGTTATCTTATTTCTCTTATTTATATATTCTATATTCAACTGAATAATAATAAGCATATTTAAGCTTGGATATAATTAAAAGGATAAGCAAATGCGAGTTCAAATGAGAAAAGTATCAAATTGCTGTCCGACAATTATTTTCGAACGTAACCTACATATTCTAGTAAATGTAGTTGTGCAATTCGTCGTTAGCTAAAAAATATATATATTTAAAAATTAGTGAAGTATCTCTAAAATACACTAAGTGATTCTTTATTAATACAAAAAATGTAAACTGCTGCAAAGGCATACCAAAAATTAATGCGGTTTATGATAAGATGATGCGATTCGAATGAACGCCGGAGTCAGACGTGATTTGTTCGATGCATTATCGCTAGTGCAAAACTATTGAAATGCAACAAAATCGAATTAATTTCAGAGAATATCCATTAACTAAGAGAATATCCAACAGAAGCGAGTATGGTCAAAGGTTCGTGACTCTTTAAAAACGACATCGAAGTTTGGATTGGCGGCAAAGAAGGTTATGTTGAGTGTTTAGTGGGATTTTCTATAACGTGCTGTTTCAGTTTGGTGTAATAGTAAGGGAAAGCAAATGGAATTTTTGTTTAAAAATGTACCACAAAACTGCAGATACTTTCCATTAACATTCTTTAAAGAAATGAATGGTATACCTATCAACAATTGAAGGTAAATTTATAAAAAGTATATAAGAAAATGTATAGCCTTTTTTTATGGGAATGATAGCAGCTAGATATAGTAAAGTAACATTTTTTTACAATGAAGTAAAATTTTTATAACATTAATTTCAATTAAAAATTATATTCAAGTACTCAAAAATTAATTTAACTATGAATTTCAAATTAATAAAAAAATAAATAATTTCTCTGTTGACTTACCATTTTCCTCAGAAAAAGCACGCTGTGAACGCATTACAAGAGACCTGAAATAAGAAAAGGAAATTTAATTTATTGCTAAGCAGCACAGGCAAAATCTTTCAAATCAGTTGCTTAATTAGATTAGAATTTTGGCCGTAGACCTGGGAAGAGTAAGAATAGTGTATAATTGTACGTGATTATGCTGCATGCAACGAATGCAGCATACAGCACAACCACATATACTGTACTTCAACATCATGCATCATTCAACACCAAAAACACACATCATAAGGCGGAAATTTTTAATAATTAATTACGAATTGCGGCAAAGAGAATGCACATCATGCAGCACGTATCTGAAGCAGCAGTGCAGTAGAAGTGAATTAATCGCACCGCATCTTGTTGCCGATTGCTGAGTGCCGACAGGATTGGATTGGATATATACAACATATAAAAATGAAATTTGTTGATTTCAGTTTTTAATTTTCATATTTTCGAAAATTATTTTGTTTCTTATTTATTTCGAATATTTATTTATTTGCTGCAACAATGATTTATGCAATGTGCCACACAGCATCATACTGTTTGCCGTCCCTCCTTCGAGTGGCTAAGGCAGAGCATGACGTACTAAATCAAAAAGCAAGCGTAGAGCAGCAAATTATTTCACTGGAGCTGAAAGTTTTATGGTTTATTTTCGGCTAAAAGAAGCCTAAGCGGCTTTTTTATGATATTTATGAGTTCCACAGTAGTACAGGACTATTTTTGTATAAATGTTTTTTGAAATGTCATTAGTATGAACACTGTTTATGTTGTTTGAGGTAACACTTTAGAAAAAATTCATAACAAAACTAACCCGCATAGAAGTTTAATATATAGATATATACCTTAAGTGAGATATATCTCATTGCCAACAAAAGATATTATATACTAACTGTAAATAGATCAATTGAAATATATTTATTTTTCATGCTTATATTGGTTCCATGCACCCGATTAAGATGCATATTTTATGAAATATTATTGGACTAGAGCGAACACTGATAAGATATGCCTTGAGCTGGTCTGACAAAAGCGCAAAATTTGTTTCTTTATAATCTAGATAATCTTTCCTTTTTTCGAAATTTTAAAAGGAAATAATTTCAAATTTAATAAATCAAAATTAATCAAAAAAAATCTTTGAGTTACATACCAGAAATAGTTCACCAATAAAAATAGGATAAATTCGGAAAACAACAAACAGAGCTTACGGAACGCCAGAACAACGTGAGGTCAATTAAGAAAATGCACAATATTAACAATCGGTTGACAGGGAAAAAACGGAACAACATAGTGTATATATTGAAAAAGATCATGTTTCAATAACATGACAGAATATTGTTCTAACATTCTGAGTAAATTTAAATCGCGAAGCTATATAAAATAAGCACAGTTTAATATTTATTTTAATTGATCAAATATAATATAGGTATTAAAATTATTTCAGGCTTAAGCTAACTCCTTTATCATTTATTCATATTAGGTAATATGTGATCTGAAGATGTGAAAATCTGTTGAAAAAAATATATTGATCAACAAATTATACTGATCAAGTATGTTGTTTTGATCTTAGTTGTTCCGAAGGATTTTTTGTTTGTTTCGGAAAAAACTAATGTTAATAGATAATTCTAGTTAATCCATAAAACTCTATAAATAATAAATTTAGTCATTTTTACAGTCTATGAGGAATTATAGTTTATGCTTGTATTGTTGAAACTGTACTGATAATAGTTTATGATTAACGGAAATATACTAATAATGTAAAAGGCCCTCTCAGTATGTTAAAACGATATTAAATAAATGCTAACTTATTAGATAAAGCCAATATATTTTATTGATGTGAGTCTATCAACGATAATACCATTTAAGTAGAATTGATAACGATTATTGTTATTTACAATTTCTGAACTGACAGCTCTGTCGACTGCAGTGAATATCCATTATCTGTGATATTTATTTAAAATATATGAAAACTGAAAAATTAAAGAAAACTTTAAATAAATTTGTGTTATGTTATGCAAAATTGTGATTCCATTTTACGTTAAAAAAAAAAAATATCACACAAAAGGCACAGCTGCTACGATAACCATAAAATATATATTTTTTTAGAAAAAAATTCTAATATAATTATGTCACTAAATTAGAAAATAAATTCCAGATGAAAAAGATGCAACATAATCGTTTCTGCTTAATTTCCAGAGGCATTCACCATAAATTCTAAAACACTTGTTCGGAAAAAATATCTTCGAATAAAAGAAGATATATTTTAATATGTTTTACGATGTCAGCAGTTTAAGCAGTCATCATACTTCACTTCCTGTTGTTGCTGCTTCTGTGCTTCTGTGCTTCTGTGCTTCTGTGCTTCTCCGAAACTCTGACCTTTTGATTCTGTTTTCCATTTGCTGCAACAGTTCCACTTATGTGAAACGCCAAAATATGCTTCAGGCACTCTGATTAAACTAAAATAAAAATAATCCCCTTCTTCACATTTTTCATGGAGAATGTGCACCTTATGGGTGAACTTAAAATTATGGAAATAAACTCTACCAGAAGTGGCACACATGTTTTTCTAGGAAAATATTACTCCAATGCTTTTAATTAAAAATTCCAGCCTTGCTTTAATGGGCTCATGTTCGGTTGAAGTATGATAGTAAAAGTGTCCTTTAAAGACGGGAATCATTAACTTAAGAATAGCATACTATATTTAAAAAGATATGATAGTTTCAGTTTCTAAATTTTAAAATAGTATTAAAATAATTTATTTTTAAATAACGTATCTTTTATCGTTATTTTACACGCGTTCTACATATTTCATATCTGTTGAATCTTTTTGAACTGTGGTGGTAATTAATTTGAATGGATATTATTTCGAGTATGTTGAACGTACCATAAATTAATAGTATATTTTTATGGCTCTTAAGTCTTAACGTTAAGAAAGTCTAAGCCCATAATTCTTGAAAAAAGAATTTTGCTTAAATTATGATAAATGAGGCGCCAAAGATACGGTGGAGGAAATGCTTACCTAGTAGCAAATCCCGCGGAAAAATATAGAATTTTCACTAAATTTATTATGTTTCTGACAACCTTTTCTAATACATTAAAATTTAATAGCTAATAACGTGTCTGTATGGATTAAAATGGTAGGCAAGTGCACAACCACTTAACGGAAACTGGTAGTCAAATCCGACGCCTTTGAGTCTACATTTCATTATTCAGCCTCAAATATAATATTTAATTATTTTTAAATTTTTTCATTTTTGATTTTTGATTTTTAAGCTTATATTATTACATTTGCTATTTTAAGAAATATTTTGATGTTGTCATAACTTGAATAGTTGCTAACCTCGAACAAGATTTTTGGGAAGTTTTATTAAGATACAAACAAATGATTTCAAATATGCAAAAATGTATTTATATACTACAATTAATAAATTTTCGAGTTTAAATTTAATCAAAAATAAAGAATCAGTAATTAAAAATAATTGCAACATTAACTTTAAGAAATTGAAATAAGTTTCGGATTTCGAATAACTTTTGTTCTATAAAACTTTATATACAACATTCGTATGAATTTCACATGGTTGGCAATATCAGTTTGACATATATACCTCTGTGTAGTTGGTAACACTTCAATCGCTTCAAACCCTGTTGATCAAATTTTGTTATATGGCATAAACCAACTACAGTTGGCAACCTAAGCTGGCTGACCTCAGCGATTACTGGACATGGAAACTTCAAGCATCACCTCAAAAAGATAACTCTTGCTAAGGAAGACACTTGCAGACTATATCTAAAAGAAAAGGAGACAGCGGTGTATATATTGTACCAATGTTCAGCACTGGCAAGTAGGAGGAAGACTGTCTTGGAACAGATTTGGGTTGGTGATGACTAGGCACGCAATCTTAAGCTATATATATTCTACATTTAATCTCATTCATTTCCAAAATCGATCTATCTACCCAGTTACAATATTTCACGAATAACTCAGTATACATATATATTGCTTCAGAATAAATATAAACACTATTACCTTACATTATTGTTATCATTCTTTATGGACCATTAAGCCTGCGCTGCGTAAAAGACTATATAAAGCTGCTATAATTTTCATAAATTAAGTCTATTATACTGTAAAAGAACTTTACGTATATTAAAGTATATAGTACTTCTTATAGAAATATTTTAAGAATATCATCTTGGACATTTAGACTTTTCAAGAAACCACTAACAAACAGGTCTAATAAAACGCCCAATAAAGAAACAATTTTTACAGAAGTAAATTAGCCAACTTATACTTTTATATGTAATTGAGATATATCACAGCTTTTATTTAATTTTAAAAATGTTGAAGAGTGCATTAGAATTCTGTACGTAGTATTTACCTCCAAAATTTGCGAACTGCTTCCTGTTCTGCTGCGCTGAGATTTTTAATTTTTTCTTCGAAATTCTGTGCCATTTTTGACTCATCATATTTGCCATTGCTAACAGCAATCATCGTGGTTAATTTGATTTATGTGTTGATAATAATTTTAATTAAGTGGCTTAGATTCTATTTTTGTTTAATAAATATAATTTTTGTGATAAAATGCTGAGGTAAAACCTGAGCGATAAGGAATGCAAAGCACGTATCACCAAGTGCTTTAAATGCAGCACAAAATTTTTATAAAATTTTTATCGAAGCTTAGAATAAAAACTCGCAACATTTTTTATTATAATTAAATTTAATTATATGCACAATTTTCAAATTCGTTTCAAACATTTTTGGGCAAACGGCATTTTTAAAAAATATATATCTTTTCATTGCCAAAATAACATATGTGTCACAGGCAAATTTTATTTTCATATGTAAATTTTTATCTCCCTCCACTGTCATTTACTACAATATTAAATTTTTACATTTTCAACACTTTTCTATATTTACTTAGCGAATTTAATTATAATTTTTCAAAAGTGTTGGAGCACCGCGAATATATAAAATCACAACTTGTACCCCAAGTTCTCACTTCTCATATTCCGCACACCGTTTGTG